CTTTGCTTGGTCCCACACACAGCACACTGCGCTGCGCTCCTATCCCATCTCCTCAGCTGAAAACGTGCCTCACGTTTGTGGATGAGGCACATCCACTGCAAAGACAGATCTCACAGAGAAGCCACGTTTATTTTTTTTAAAAGGAGAAAAGGGCAAGGTGGATGGGGTGGGGAGTAAGAAACGCTAAAGACACCATCAGCAGCAAAACCATAGCAATATCCAGGTTAAAAAGAATAAGGAAATTTAAAAAGAAATCATGTTTTTGATGACTTAAAAAAAAAATCCCATTATCAGGCAGGGTTAAATAAAGAAAACACAGGAAAGACTGAATAAAATCCTTTGAGGAAGGGAGGTGCTGAGGGCGGAATAAATCCCTAGGCAATGCCTGAAATCTGGCAGGCAGAAGTCAGTCCTCACCTTCTCTATAAAACAGCCTGGAGTGAAACATCTCTTAGGTCAATGAGGGACATGGCTGGAGGAGAGGGTGCTTCCTTCCACCCCAGCAAGACCCAGCACCACTAGCACAGACACAGTCATGCTTGGAGAGGTAATCTCCTCCTGAGGTAAGGAGATTTTCATTTTAATTTTGCACTGGTTCACTTTACACAGGAAATATCAGCTGAATGAGGGGAGTTAATATAATCAGATATAGCTTAGCACAGCAACAAATATATTCAGCAAAGAAAATAAAGATAGGCAGGGATAATTTCGCTAGACTTTCCTCGCTTCCTATCGCTCCATTCCTTTCTCTTCCTGAAAAATTACACGTATTTCTTGCACACAAAACAGGGATATTTCCCTGCGTCAAAACAGCAGGTTAACACTGATGGACAGAACAGCCATAGAGGAACCTACAAAGGACTAACCTCTTTCCAGATGTACATTTTCTATACTGCCCGCATCCTGATGGTACATGACTGCTTGTCAGGCATGCTGTGCGCCTTGCAGGAGTGCCACCCTTCTCCGCTATCCCCACCGTAGGGAAGCAGAACTAAATTAAACTTTTGGTCAAAAGAACTTCTGATCAAACAACAACAACAAAAAAGAAAAAAAAAATAACCAACCACCCACTCTTGAAGCTAAAGAAAGTACACGCTGCTAACACCACTGGGACTGTCTATTTTGGGGAAGCTTTCTGGGACAACAAAATAATTCAGTCTCAGGTGAGCCTAACATCTCAGGCTTTTTTGTTTGCTTGGGTTTTAAGGGCGTTTTTTTTCCCCCTTTTTCCCCGCCTTCCCCCTCCTCTTTAGCCACTTTTGGGGCTTTTACTTCACTGGATTTAGATGGTGGTGGCCGAGACCCTGAATTTGGCTACTTCTGTAAGCAAAACAACTAGCTTGGCATAAAACTTCTCTGAGACAAATCATGTGTTGACAGCATGAGGATCAGCAGTAGGCAATGACCCTCCAACCTTTGCTTAGTGGCTCTCAGAGGCTTTTCAAGGGAAGATGCTCCCCACAGTTCAGGCTGACTCCACTACATTATCCTTTTGTCCCCGCGGTCTACTGAAAGCAGTGAGGCAAGAGCTGCTAAAAAAAACTTGTGAGCGGCATGAAAAATTGGTCTACAGATACTGCCATGTTGGGTTTTTTACCTGCTGGAGTTTGGATTTTTTTGCAGCACCACATCACTGTTGCTGGATCCTTCTCACAGCAGGGAACGCACCAGAGTTACACACTTAACCGTTCGTAAGTCACAAGAAAATGATCAGAAGTCCTAACCATCATATTGCTTGAAACTCCCCACGGGTCTACGTTCTACCCTGATGGGGTCTAATGCAAACTAACATTTGGTTTTCTGTGTACCGCAGACACAAATAGCCTTCAAGCGATCTCTGCCATGTTAGCCATAACTAATAATAAGGATGCCGGAGCAGCTCCAGATTAGGGCAAATAAGTGGGAAGCCACTTTTTATGCTTTCAAGTTGTGAGTTAATCCCAGATTTCTTCCCAAAAACTTGAATTCCACATACAATTCCAAGCCTCCATGTTTCCAGAAAAAAAAAAAAAAGAGAGAAAATCAGAATAAAACATGATGTTATGAAAGGGGCCTCACCACTTTTGAGATGGAAACCTCTCCCTGTCGGATACCGCTACTTCCCAATGACTGGGAGAAGTTAGTATCTGCAGTCTGGCTGGCCCTGGATTATGTCTATTCTTGGAAACTCCAAATGTGACCACACAAGGGGATTTCTTGACTGGTTAGTCCCAAGAACTGCCTTTGATCTTCCCGTTCTGTAAGTCCACACATCCTCAATAATGACAGAGGAAAGAGAAGTAACTATTTCCAACATTTCCCATTTTCCTCGGAAAGCAGTAGTGGTGCAAACATTGCATTCTCCATCTCTCATCTTTGAGACCTTACTGACAACACACCTTAGTGCTTAGCCACCACCACAAGTTTGAACCACACTTTGGATTTATGTTCAAGCCCACCATCGCTGCTCAACCCTGGCTTAAATGGCCAAGCATCACGCGCTTGTGTGTGGATACAAACTGCCATGCTGGTTAGTAAACCCTTTAGTTTCTTGATCTCAATACAACTCTCTCCATCATCGGCTGTATCACAGGGAATTAAAGCCATTTTCTAATGTCCTTTTCATCCCTATTGATGCCTAAGAGCCACTGCCTTGGACCGGCAAAAAAGTCCTCCATGCCCCCCTAGCACACCTTTGCAGTCTCCCTGTTCTCAGGCTTTTCCCAAATTAACCTGCAAAAGTGATCTTCATGTCTCCCTGTGAAAGCATAGTTGTAGGGAACATCTCCCCAGAGGAGAAAGGATAAGTGATCTGTTAACATTTTACACATGGATAAATGTGAGAGCAGTTCCCAGACCCCAGAGTTAACAACTGGGCAGAGAAAAACACCCATTGCTACTTGACAGATAAAGAACTGAAAGCTGTAGTGATGCTATGCGGCCTGCCCAGCTTTACATGAAAAGTGAACTTCACTGGAAAAGTGAATTCTGGTCCTCTTTGCCCTGCTGCGGTGCCAGGGTGTGATACTCCTTGTCTTCTCCATCACTCCAGGACCATACGTTCCCTCAGCAGTCAAAGCCAGCCAGGCTTTCTGTTCAGGTCTCCCTCCTAACATCCCTCCTGCAAGCAGGATTACGCCCTGTCCTTGGTCCGTAGGAGTAAAAGCAGCCCCAGCTGCACACAGGGTCTGCAAACCCTGCCACCACTTCCACACCACAGGGCTGGGGGTGCTGCTGCTGCTGCAGAAACCATCTCCCTGCAAACCCTTGCTGGGCTCACAGGTATGAGCTCACAGAATCACAGAATGGTCAGGGTTGGAAGGGACCTCTGAAGATCATCTAGTCCAACCCCCCTGCCCGAGCAGGGTCACCTACAGCAGGTTGCACAGGATGGCATCCAGGCGGGTTTTGAATGTCTCCAGTGTGGGAGACTCCACCACCTCTCTGGGCAGCCTGTTCCAGTGCTCTGCCACCCTCAAAAGTAGAGAAGTTCCTCCTCATGTTAAGATGGAACTTCCTATATTCAAGTTTGTGCCCATTACCCCTCATCCTATCACTGGGCACCCCTGAAAAAAGACTGTTCCCATCCCCCCCCGGCACCCTCCCTTTAAGCATTTATAAGCATTGGTAAGATCCCCCCTCAGTCTTCTTTTCTCTAGACTAAAGAGACCCAAGTCCCTCAGTCTTTCCTCGTAAGAAAGATGCTCCAATCCCCTAATCATCTTAGTAGCCCTAATCAATTACAGACCAGATTGGGCTCAAATGCTTTAGAAGACAACAGCTATCCCGCCAGGAGCAGAGCGCTCCCTGGGGTGTAAGCCACCCAAAGAAAACCAAAACCTTCACCCACTCCTCTGACGCAGCAGCTCCCCATGAAGCAGCTGCCCAGGCCCCAGCACACATCAGGCCACCAGTTCAGCACGAGCAAGACAGCTCCCCAAAAGCATCCAAGTAAAGCACAAGCTTCTATTCGAACCCAAATTTGAAAAACATAGAGCAGGGCATTGACAGGCCTGGGTACCCAGCACAAGGTGTGAGCTATGGAAACTGCTAGGCAGAAGACCGGAGCTGCCCCGTAACCCTTGAAGCGCCCCTCCAGCTCATACCCTCCTCGCGTCCAAGATGGAGCGGCACCCACGGCAGGGGGGGCTGCCTGTGCCGCAGCCTCTGGCACAGCCTTTGTGCTGAGCAATCAGTTTTCTGGGGCAGGACAAGAGGAAAGCATTAAAAATCCAGCTCTCCCAGGCTGCTGGTAATGGATAGCGGAGCAGATCCTGCCTTGATTCTTGGCTTCTGTACAGAAAATGCTCCCAGTAAATGCAGTTTGAGGCCACAGCTAAAACAAGCAAGAACCATGGTGTAGGTCTGAAGAAAATAACCTTTTTCTGAGCCCTACCCCAGATTTCCTGGGTTCCTCCAGAAGAGGTCATATCCATATTCATAGCTGGTATCACGGTAAGCAACAGGGAAATTAAAAACATCACACTATGAAAGATAGTTACAGGGAAAAAAAATCTGCCCAGATGCTTTTTCAGGGCAGCTGTTGCACTAAAAATCTTCTAAGTTTCCTGTGCAAAGTGAACTCGGGAAACAGAAATGCACATGAAGTAGATGGGAATCATTATGGAATAAAAATCACCCAGATGTTCTAAACATGTTCTATTTTAAACATGCTCTACATGCTCCTTAGCTTGCCCTTCAAGAGGCACCCAGGTGAAAAGTACAAGTGACAAAAACAATCCGTTTGAAGGACAACTTCAGATAAATAAACCAGATCAAGCATGAATTGGCTCCCTGGATCCGAGATCAGACCAGCAGCAGAGCCGAGGGCACACACAGCTCAACCCGTTACAAACAGCCCCTTCCAGATTTCCCCCATTACTCAAGAAATCTCCCGCGCCCCACAGCACATGGCCCGCGTGAAGAATGCCATTCGCTTATATACTGCTTGGTAACTGATGGCAAGAGCGCACGCCAGAGTCCAGCTCTTAATGTAAACAAGCCAAAAATAATTCCCTTACCTTCCGTGAAGCTGCCTGTGAGGGTTATGACGACAAACACTTTGCCTTCTGGCTCCAAATCCACCTAAAAAAGTAAAGGAAACATTAGAAAATTGTTTTTCAAGGCAAAGACTCTTCTCGGGATTTTGCATGATAAATACTGCCAACATTTGATAATTGAAGCCCTATATATAGTCACATGCACATTCTTAGATTTACAGTAAATCAAGCATCCATGCCTCAAATTGTTCAGCATTCAAGGTTCCATAGAAATACAGAACTTGATTCCTTCTTTTTCCTAGAAGGGCTGAACAATTTCAACCTTGCTAAAGGAAACAGAAATTAAAGAAAAAAAAAATATCTGGTTAATAGTGTTCCAATTTGTCAGATAAATGAAGCGGGAGTAACATTGAACACACACAATTCTCTGAAAAAATCCATGCATATCTGTTTGGTGAATTACACAGGTATCTCCTCCCTGTTACATCTTATCCCATCGAAACTGTTTCACTCTTTCATAATCCCATCAGTGCTGTGGTAAACAACGATTTCTTACATAAATCACCTTTTGGCCTTAAATCACAGAAAATAGGTAACTGTCAGTGCTGTTACCTAAGGACTTGTTGTCATATAATCTAATTTAGATAGGGATACAGAATATAATTTTAGGGATCAGAAATTCAATCCCAGTGTCGGTCAACCTGTCCTTGAAAGAAGGTATTTATTTTCCGGTTAGTAGCTTTCTTATTTTTAGTTACATTTTTTAATTAAGGTCTTGCTTTGGTTTTTGGGTTGGGTTTGGTTTGGTACGGTTGGGTTTTTTGGTGTTCACCAGCTAGTTTTTAGCAAAAATCACAAATAAGGATCCCTGAAGTTTGTGTCAGGCTGCCATGCAGAAATCTCACTTAAAAGAAAAAAAAAAAAAAAAGACACACACACACACCCTGTCCCATACACCCCCGAATTGCAAGGTTAAAATTGGCAAAGAGGAGTGTTGCACCTCATGGGTATCGACAACCCATGCAGAACAGAAATTCTGGAAATAGACCTCTCTGTAGGAATAGCTAAAAATGGTCGTTCAAACTCTCTCTGCTCTTTAACAGCCACCTTTCCTCGGTCTGGCAAAACCAGAAGCAAGTCAGCAGCACCAAGGTTCATCGCGGAGGCGCCCAGAATTGAATACACCTCAGTATGCATTGTGGAGTAGAAAAATATTTCCCAGTCCTGTGAGAAAGGAGGATGAGCCCAGGCTTCTTTTGTTTCAGGTAACACACAGTGTATCCTGCTGATTTTTTGATTCCTCAGCAGTGTTAACACACATGACACCGTTCAAGTCAACCTCTAACCACAAGCCTAAGCTCCCAGAGCCACAGCGTAGGGACCACCACTAATCCAGACAATATTTGCCTGGGGTTTGCCATGCACCAACCAGTTCTTTTAAGGGAATAACATTAAGATACAGGTAAAAGAGAAAGTTGAACTCTATATATCTAACGGAGGAGCCGTTACTACCATACTACACATGGACAGAAAGCATCTGCATGGCTGTAAACAGGGAAAGAAGGTGTCCAAACCAGACTGACTCTGCAGAATTAAGATATAGCAGCGCTTTCTGATGGCACCTCCACTCCCAGGGATGCTAACTGCAGCTTCGCCAACAAAAGCGGAGAAAAAAACAATCTTTTGGAGCAATTGATGGAGAAGCAGAGATGGCACACATCACCCCCCTTACGTTTCCCTAGCCTACAATTTGTGGCAGAAGTAGAGAAATTGTTTTTAAACTACTCCAAATTTCTTAGGATGCGCAGAGCAAATGTTTTCAGAGAAAGGATGAGAGAATATCCTATTCACATGGCTCCAGCTGTAGTCCAGAAGTGACACATCTCTATCAATGGGATACAAAACAGGGAAGCTAGAACTGCTTGGGAAAATCCTATCAAAACGTTGATTTTATGGACCCTATATTTTCCACTAAAAAAAACCCACCCAAACAAAATAAATCAATTTCACAGGGAGAATTTAAGTTAAATATTTAGCTTTGACTCAATATTTACCCAATATTTTATCTAAAATAAATATTTAGCTTTGGCTCATATTCAGCCAGCTGAATATGAGTCAGCAGTGTGCCCAGGTGGCCAAGAAGGCCAACAGCATCCTGGCTTAGTGTCAGAAATAGCGTGACCAGCAGGACTAGGGAAGTGATCGTCCCCCCGTACTTGGTACTGGTGAGGCCCCACCTCGAGTATTGTGTTCAGTTTTGGGCCCCTCACTACAAGACAGATATTAAGGTGTTGGAGTGTATCCAGAGAAGGGCAAGGAAGCTGGTGAGGGGTCTGGAGCACAGGTCTTATGAGGAGCAGCTGCGGGAACTGGGGTTGTTTAGCCTGGAGAAAAGGAGGCTGAGGGGAGACCTTATTGCTCTCTCCAACTGCCTGAAAGGAGCTTGTGGCGAGGTGGGGGTGGGTCTCTTCTCCCAAGTAACAAGTGATAGGTCAAGATGAAATGGCCTCAAGTTACACCAGGGTAGGTTTAGGATGGATATGAGGAAAAAGTTCTTCACAGAAAGGGTTATCAAGCACTGGAACAGGCTGCCCAGGGAAGTGGTGGAGCAGCCATTGCTGGAGGTATTTAAAAGATGGGTAGACATGGTGCTGAGGGACATGGGTTAGTGATGGTTTTGGCAGTGTTAGGCTGATAGTTGGACTCGACGATCTTAAAGGTCCCTTCCAACCTAGACGATCCTATGATTAGTTTTTGTGTTTGCTTAGGCTGCTTACTACACTGGCTTAAGGGAACTGTGTTTAAATAGACCTCTGACTCCATTAAAACGGAAGACATTCCCCAAATAAACTTCAACTCCAGCAATAATTTTCACCATTTTTGCCTAAATTTCAGTTCACTGGGGAGATGTGCAGTTTTGTAAAGTAATGGTTCTTTCAAAAATATATGATGTCTATAACATATATACACATATACAGTCACCCAAATTGATTTATGGGATATCAAGACTTCAGATTTTATGGGAAAATCCTTACTTATGTTTCCAAAAATCATTCTTCAGTTCATACAATTTCTCTGCCAGTCTCCATAGACAGTGCTACGTTAGACTACCTCTTTCACATTTACAAAGAGGATCTTTCCACACTTCTTCCGAGATATGTGATCTCTTATGGGATACAGAACAAATCCTGCACTCTCTGTTTAGTCTTAAAAACAAAGGTTTGTCAAGATACAAGCAGCTGGGCTGAGACCAGGAGATGCAACAAAAGCATCATCCACTTTCGGCACAGGGCACAAACAAAAATTGGTCCAAACTCTGTGACGCATCTTGTTCTCCACCTGTGCAAATGGGATTCTCCTGTCCAGGGTAGTATAGTTTCACAAAACAGAAACAAAATTGTTTTGAAAGTAATAGCAGAAGATTTACAACAGTTATAGAACAATCCCTCTCCCTTCCAGACTCCAAGATTAAAGACCAGTAAAGACCCTCCACTGACTAATCTGCCTCACTCATATTATACCACAGAACTCAATAAAGAGGATCTAGCTACGCCTAAGATCTTTTCATGGCACACGTTAGTGTGATCTAATTAAACATTACAGCTGAAAGGCTCCAAAACGAAGCCCTAGCATGCCAGGAGCTGCAGAAGCAGAACATCTTTGGCACACCAGCATCCAGCTGGATACAGGACAGATGGTGAAATCTTGTCTTATACAAGAGGTTAAATTAGGTCTTAATAGTCTCTCTGGTCTTAAATCAATAGCAACAGCAATAACAAAAGATAAGATACAATGAAATTAAATAATTAAAATTAATAGAGCACTGATAAAAGTCTGGCTTTTGGACCTGCTGTGATCTCCTTTAAAGATTAAATTTGACCAGCTAAGTAGCACCCAACACAGTATCTGAGATCAACTCCCAAAACTTTTCCCATGGAAAGTGCCTGAAACAGAAAAATCATCCACAGGAAAGGAAAATGCCTGATCGCAGACCTGCCCTCCCACGAGCCTGCCCGCGATCAGACCATCAAGCAGCTCCCGGGCAGCAAGGCTCACCTGACGGGACGTGCTTCCTCACGCCATCGCACGGACCCCCCAAACCACAGCCCCACAACATGGAGGTGCAGTTAGCTCCTGAAAGCTCCTCACACTTACAGGACCACAACCCCCGGTGCCCGCGCAGCCAGACGGATGCTCCTGGGCTGAGCCAGCGTGCACAGCAAGCAGCTTGCCGAGCCCGGGGCTAACCTCAGCCATCCTTGCCGCTCGGTTCCCCATGTTCCTGCCCCTGCTTTACACCTTCATTACTGCCTTCAACGCTTTGGATTGTGGCTACAAAACAGCACGCACTGTGGCAGAGCTTCAGCGAGCCAGCAAGCAACTGCAGCCACATTTGGGCACTCAGAAACATGCCCATAACAATCTGAAACCAGATACCCACAGATGAGGAGCGTGGTACCCTACTTCTCCCTCAAAAGGAGGAACTCCTAATATAAGCCTTCCTTCAATCTCTTCAGTCACTGAAGAACTTCTATCGCTAGCACCTACTTTCACAGACTGAGATTACTTCTCACTATGCTATGTTATTTAATAAGATTTGAGCACTTCAAAAGGAAGCAGCTGCCAAAGGACTGGCCCTCCAGCCATGGAAGGGATAACCCTATCTAGCGGCGGCTGGCTGGCGGCCCAGGCCCCGACTGCGCGCCGGCAAGGCTCCAGTGATGTCGGTACCTCCCAGCATCAGCGAACACCCTCGGGATCCAGCCTCACAACAGCTGTGCCCATGTAACACAAGTACCACGCATACACCAAGTTTTGCTTCTCATTTCTTTTCTTTCCAGCATTGAGAATGGCTGCTTAAAGGCAAAAAAACCCTATGGTTTTTTCTTGTATTATTCTTGACAGAATTATTAGAGTCCATAGCAGACCATGCAATCAGTTTGGATCAAGAAAGCAGCTGATGCTGATCTTGTTTCTCAAAGAAAGCAAGAGAGGCTCGGAGAAACTCAACAGCCTGAAGGCAGTACAGATGATGCTAAGGGGGAACTCCTATCATACTATAGTAGGTAAGCAATACAGGGATGT